CCCAAATTCCCACCTTGAAGATGCTGAACAACCCCTGGGATTTCCTGAAGACGTCGGATTTCCCAAATTCCTCCAATTTCTCCCAAGTTTCCTCCAGGTGGTTCCGGGCACAGATCCCAAAGCACAGCGAGAGACCCTGGAAGGAATTTGGGAATAAAATCCTGCAGTCAAATTCCCAAAATTTGTTTTTTCCAGGATTTATTTCAGTTGTGTCAAGGGAATTCTCCTTTTTCCCACCTTTTTCCCTGTTTTTTCACCTTTTTATCCCATCTTTTTTCCTCTTTTTTTCACCTTTTTTCCCATTTTTTTCACCTTTTTTCCCATTTTTTTCCACCTTTTTTCCTGGTTTTTTTTCACCTTTTTTCCTGTTTTTTTCCACCTTTTTTCCTGTTTTTATCCCATTTTTTTCCACCTTTTTGCCCATTTTTTCCACAGTTTTTCCACATTTTTTCCTGGTTTTTTCCCACCTTTTTTCCTGTTTTTTTCCACCTTTTTTCCCATTTTTTCCACATTTTTCACTGGTTTTTTTTCACCTTTTTTCCCTTTTTTTTCCACCTTTTTTCCTGTTTTTTACCTTTTTTCCCATTTTTTTCCCACCTTTTTCCTGGTTTTTTCCATCTTTTATTTCCATTTTCCCCACCTTTTTCCCACCTTTTTTTTCCAGCTAGGAAAAAGCTGGGAAAGTATGACAAAAAATGGAAAAAAAGCTGCAAAAGAATGGAGAAGAAAAAAACAGAAAATTGAAAAAATCTAGAAAAAACTATGGGGAAAAAGCTGGGAAAAAATTGAAAAAAATCCTGGAAAATGGAAAAAATGTGGAAAAAAAAGCTGCGAAAAATGGAGAAAAAAAGCTGGGAAATTGAAAAAAATCAAGAAAAAAAAATGGGGAAAAAGCTGGGAAAAAAGTGAAAAAAAAGCTGGAAAGTGGAAAAAAAACCGAAAAAAAAGCTGCAAAAAATGCAGAAAAAAAGCTGGAAAATTGAAAAAAACCTATAAAAAAAAAGGGGAAAAAGCTGGGGAAAAAAGTGAAAAAAACCCTGGAAAATGAAAAAAATATGGGAAAAAAAACTACAAAAAAAAGGAGATGAAAAAG